TCCAGAATTGGCCAAATACCCATTCTTGATTAATCAAGAAAGGCTAATCACGGACACGTTTCGGGCTGTTGGCCCTCATCAGCGTGGTGCAAGCTGTACCTCAACGACCAAAAAACTGGTCATTCAGGCATCCTGAAAAATCATGAAACGGGTAGTTAAGGCCAGAATTGCGTGAGACCGCGACACAATGTGAATAAATAGTACAATGGGATATTGTAATGGAATAAGGTGCATAATTATGAAAAAAAGGGCATCTCCTTATCGTGCAACTGAAGTGGTTTTTCAGGATGCCTTGAATGACCAGTTTTTTAGTGGTTGAGGTACAGCTTGCACCACGCTGATGAGGGCCAACAGCCCGAAACGTGTCCGTGGTTAGCTTTTCTTGATTAATCAAGGATGGGTATTTGGCCAATTCTGGAAAAATTAAAAATCAACGAGAATAGTTGATATTTATTCCGATAGATGGCGCAAGCCATCAGCAACTTTCAGCTGCACGATAAGGAGATGCTCTTTTTTCATATATATATATATATATATAAATTTGAAAGTTTATAACATCATGGTGTATGAAGTGGTGTATCAGTGTGCATTTGTTGTTGTGTGTCATTTTAAATTAAAATGGATTAATTCATAGGTGTGAGTGCATGTGTATTTGTAGGTGTAAGTTTTATGGTATATAAATCTGTTTAAACATAGATGCTAGTGCATGCGTGTGTATTTGTAGGCAGAATTATTTGGTGTATGAATGTGTTCAATTATAGATTCGAGTACATGGATGTGTATGTGATGGTGTTATTTTGTATAAATATATTCAATCATACTATAGTGTATGATTCTACATTTGTAGGTGAGTGATTTTTTGTGCGAGTTTATACTTGTATGTGCAGCGCATTAGTCGGTATGCATTATTTAATAATATTTACTGAGTTTATATGTTTAATATAAGTGAATATTCATCGTATTTTGATATTTTGTGTGTGTATCTTGATAATATATATACAATATTTGATGTAAATATTTTTCAATTTCTAAATTGGAATTCAATCTCTCTCTCTTTCTCTTTTAAACCTATATCTCAATTTTGATAAAAATTAAACAAAAGTATTTTCATATTTTTATATTTTCAACCGCAAATTTAATGATATTTTCTATTTTGATATTCTTGATTTAATTAGATAACATTACAACATTTATTTTCTTCTTTCTTATCTCTATATTTATGAAGAATTTAAACAAACAGAGACCCCTGAATAGTTTAGCAATTATTTACTCAAAGCGATCAACCGTCGAATTAAATAGGGTTTTCTAATATACAAATGTGTTTAGAAAGTAAAAAATCCTCATATAATCATATATAACAAGCAATCAATAAACCCGAGAGCATAATCATAATATAAAATGATCATTATCGCGTTAGATGATATAAATTCCAAATTTCAAATTAAGAGTTGAAATTGTAGACTATATAAGCAAATCAGACGATAATATATTTATAGCGCGGTTGGTAGATCAAATTATCGACATCGCTGGGAGGGTTCATCACCGATGGATCCAGCTCATTTAAAAAAAATTCATCTTTTCGTTTAGTAATTGTTGATATTTGACCTATAGAGGTTAAATTCAAAAATGATTATAGCGTTATAAATGAAAATAAGATGAATTGTACTTTTCCACAGAAATGTAAGAATTGATTGATCAAGAGTTCTCCTGACAAATACATTATTCACTGGGGATCTCGCAGTAACCATTCAGGCAGGTGCCGACGGAGTAGCGATATCGGCAAACTTGGTTGTCAGGGTAGTTGACCCAGAAGAGCTGCAGCTTGCGGTCAACTCGTTCGATGCAGGCAACACGGCAGGGTTCTGGGAAGACAGGGAAAGACAGATTACTCTCAGCCTTGCAACCGATCCCAGCGGTGGATGTGACATTCGAAGATTCTGTGGTGGAATTCAATCGACTACAGACCAACAGAGGAATGCACATCAGCAGCTCTAACGTCAGAATCCACCATAGCGTCATCTTATAAATTTCCACACATTCGTCGAGATCAGGACCTGAACTCTATATATCTTTTAATTATATACTAATTAGAAACTCATTGTTCAAACCATAATGACTAATAATCTACGAAGGTTTATAAATAATATAAGTATACATTTTTGAGTTTATTTTCATATAGTTATATCTTTCAAATACATGACATCCAAATGATCAGCAAAAATCTCAGAAAGTAATCAATCTAAATAGAAATAATCATGAAGTTCATTTATTATTATTTCTCACTAACCTGAAACGGGCATTAGGTCAGTGCTTTTCTATATAAATCCGGGATTTGGTTCCAGTTTATATTCTACGTTATATCTTTAAAATACATGACATTTCGAATGATAAGTAAAAATCTCAGAAAGCCATCTATCAAAATAGCTATAATCTTAAATATCATTTATTATTCCTCACTAACCTGAAACGTGTACTTGGTTAGTGCTTTTCTATATCCAGAATATGTATTTAGTTTCTTTCTACTTTATATATTCAAAATACATACTTTCACATCTCAAATGATCAGCAAAAATCTCAGAAAGCCATCAATCTAAATAGCTATAATTTTAAATATCATTTATTATTCCTCACTAACCTAAAACGTGTACTTGGTTAGTGCTTTTTTTTATAAATCCATTATATATATTTAGTTTATTTTCTACCTTAAATCTTCAAATACATATCCTTACATATTAAATGATCAGCAAAGATCTCAGAAAGCCATTCATCAAAAAATAGCAATAATCTTAAAGATCATTTATTATTTTTTATCACTTATATATATATATATATACATGAAACGTTTATTTAGTCAGTGCTTTTCTATATAAATCCATTATATATATTTAGTTTATTTTCTACGTTATATCTTTAAATACATATCTTGACATATCAAATGATCAGCAAAAATCTCAGACAGCCATTCATCAAAAATAGCTATAGTCTTAAAGATCATTTATTATTCCTCACTAACCGGAAACTTGTACTTGGCTAGTGCTTTTTTATAAATCAATAATTTATATTAAGTTTATATTCTCTAGGTTATATCTTTAAAATACATATCTTGATTGATATCAGTTATAATTGACATTTAAAATGACCAGCAAAAATCTCAGAAAGCAATCAATATAGATAGATATAATCTTGAAGATCATTTATTATTATCCTTCACTAACCTAAAACGTGTATTTGAGTAGTGCTTTTCTATATAAATCCGGAATACGTATTTAGTTTAATTTATAAGTATTATTTTAAAAATACATGCCATTTCAAATGATCAAAAAAGATCTCAGAGAGCTATAAAAATAGCAATAATTTTAAAGATCGTAATTATTATTATTATTCTTCACTAAAAACACCTCTCTGAAACGTGTACTTGATCGGTGCTTTTCTATATAAACAAATAAAACATATTTGGACAATAGTCAAATTTATTATTGAATCAATGACTAATTTATATTTATTTCGATAGAGATGGTGCTTTTTATATTTCAAATATAGGAAAAATGTGATTTACTATTTTAAATTATGAAAAATTCATCTCCTTATCGTGAAACTGAAAGTTGCTGATGGCTTGCGCCATCTATCGGAATAAATATCAACTGTTTTCGTTTATTTTTAATTATTCCAGAATTGGCCAAATACCCATTCTTGATTAATCAAGAAAGGCTAACCACGGACGCGTTTTGGGATGTTGGCCCTCATCAGCGTGGTGCAAACTGTACCTCAACAACCAAAAAGGATATATATAACCACCGATAAGGAGATGCCTTTTTTATTATTTATGCACCTTATCCCAGTACAATTATCACATTTGTACTATTTTATCACATTACTATTTTAAATTATTAAAATACTTTGCACAATAGATAAACTTATGGCGCAAGGAATTTTATCTTTAATGATCATCTTGCGGCCAGGAAATGACCTCTTCATGTATTTCAATGCTTATTCTTTCCAAATGTTTTACCTATCTTTATATCAATACCCAATTGTAAAATCTATTTAGCAATATAAATATAGGACGACAATTATAGGCTTGAATAATCTCAAACATACCAGGCCTCTAAATTCAATTAACTTATTTATATTTAACTAACAACACATGCAGAATGGTTAGTAATATTAGAAATCGAATTGGGTTGGAGATGCTAACACACAAAAAAAGTTAAAGGTTTTCCGATAAAAATAAATTTCGGGGCCTAAAAACGTTTGAGTAATTAAATAAATTACGTTTATGATTTCTTTTTATTTTAATTTGGTTAAGAGAGAGGAGTTCCTTTAATGAGGAGCTTTGTTTTAGGTAAATAATACCAAACGATATTTGCCTACTTTATTCAATTATCTTTTACAGATGATTGGATTTATGATTTCTTTACTTTGTAATCTTTAAACTTATGCTCTTTTTAAACCTTTTTTGTTTCTTTGATATTTTTAAAAATAAATATTTTCAACCAAGTCTCAAATCTATGAATTACAGTTAGAAAATTTATATTTTCTATAATTCTTATGGTTTTGTTTCGATGTTGGTGTAAAAAATATATTAATTTTTATTATATTTATAACGATGTGTTTTAAGAGTGTTTGTTTATGTAAAAAAGTCGGCTTCGATAAAAGAAATACACTGGTTTTAAACGCAGATATCAATATTTAAAAATAATATATAATATACATTTTCTGTACTTGATTATGCTAGCTATCCTGTCTATGGCCTAAAGTGAGTTAGCAGTTAAAAGCTAGCAGCATTTATAATAAATAATCATATTTCGGTTTTTCACCCTTTCATACTTCATCCAAAAAGGTTAGAAATAGTCAATATTTCACCTTGAAATAAATTTTGATTTTTCATTGAAAAGAAACTTATGCGGTGTAACTTCAAGTGTTGTTTTACAATCACAAGCCGCAGTGTATTATATTGTATTATAAGTTACTTTATGTATTATTTATGAACGGTAAAATACGTCCAGGATAGCCTAGTGGACATGGCATCTACCCGGTGGGCGGAAAATTGTGGGTTCGATTCCCATCCCTGGACACTTTTATTTTTCCGTTCATCATAATTCACCCTTTCATACCTCATCCAAAAAGGTTAAAATAGTCAATATTTCACCTTGAAATAAATTTTGATTTTTCACTGAAAAGAAACTCATGCGGTGTAACTTCAAGTGTTGTTTTACTCTTATCATGTATTTGCGAGTATCTTTTGATTAAAATTACCTTTTCTTATCTTTAGTAGTGTAAAGGAATATTTCACATACACTATACGTAAGAACTAAAATAATTAAGCACGAATGTTTTTTTTTTACAAATAAATCAAACTAAAATAGTGGTGGAAAGGCTTTGCTCACTAGAAGTGAACCCTCCCAGTGATAAAGAGTCTGTTTTATTTATAAAATAACGATTTGTGTTTAAAAGATTTATATTGTATGTATAGAAAGTGCGTTATTGTCTTATAATTAATACACACACACAAATACCTTTATTAAGACACACAGGTCTTACAGAGGATTCTCCTTGGGGTTACAAGACGGAGAAACCTATGAAAGTGAGAAATATACAAAGGGGTAAAAATGTAGAAAGATTATTAACACATGATAAATATATACAGATTATTATTTGAATGATCCTATGGAAAATAAGAATATGGATTTGAAAATATGGATGGAAGAAGTGGAGAGCGAAAAGAGGAAAAAAACAGGTATTTATATATGGAATATACATATAGTGGACCCTCGGTTTACGAGCACCTTGGAGTACGAGCTTTTCGCAGTACGAGCAAAATTTTTTGAAAATATTTACTTCGGATTACGAGTGAAATTTCGCATTACGAGCAACTCGTGATGGTTGCCCGTAATCGTGATGGATGAAAATTCACTGGGATCCCTCCCTTCAGATCAGATTCGGGAAATATGTAAAATGTGGGAAACTGTGCAATTGTTCGTAGCAAGAAGAATTGCCCGAGTTTCAATTATTAAAAATAAGAAATTAGTTTCGCACTACGAGCGTTTTGGAGTACGAGCATGGCTCTGGAACGGATTATGCTCGCAAACCGAGGGTCCACTGTATAATGGAACAAGTCAATTTAAGCTCTTCCTTATAATTAATACATTATATGGTGGAAAATATATTGAAATAACATATCATCAATATTCCACGATTCAGAGGAAACCACAGCCACATTAACCAACAGTGTATTTCAACTCCCGACGTTTCAGTGACTCCTGTCATTCTCTCTGTCCCCTGAAGAGAGTGGCATTAAGTCACTAAAGCGTAGGGAGTTGAAATGACCTATAGGTTGATGTGGCTGTGGTTTCCTTTCTGAATCAACTTCCAACCAACAAATAGCTATCAGAACAATATTTCACGATAATATTGTGAGATAAGTGAAATTTGTCTCCATTAATTGCTAATAGATTACACAGTGAAATGGTTTCTGAAGCTGAAGATCTATAACCTCACTATATAATTTTCTAAAGCAACTGAAATTTCACTGACAGATATTTAAAATCAAAATTGACTAGGAGAAGGAAGCTATGAGTAGAAAATATTTTGAATATATTATTTTATAGGAGAACTAAATTATAGATTATCTACTGATTTTTCCTAAAGCCAAAGAAAACAAAATTTCAAATACAATGTTAAAAATAGTCACTGGAGAAAAATTACGAAAATAATGGAAGAAAATATAATTGTCTAATCGTGAATGATGCTATATTGAATAAAATAAAACTATTTTAGTAAATCAAAAGAAAAGACAGAAACATCTTTGCTGGAAATTCCTGATAAATCTTCGAATACAGGTCTAAAGTGAGAACCATATGAAAAGGTACTACATAAGAGAAATCTACACAGCAATAGAAGACCACCTAATAGATACCAGAAAGAATTTAGAACATTCTAAGGTGTGCTCGAAAAATAAATATTGATTTAAAACTATATTTACCAATTATTTAAAAAAATAAAGCAAATATTTGGTTACCTTTTTTATATCTGGAAAGTTCGCCCTATCAGACGAACCGCCGCACGGTGTTCGAAAATACCATTTCTGATTGAATTAATTCCAGTAATTTCTGTTAAAATAGTTTCATAATTTGGCCTCTTTTTTTTTAATCATCTGTGAATTTAATATTTCAGTGAAAAAATAAATACTTCAAATGCCTATTTTGTTAGTTCTTGTTATAATTCCAACATCAACATTAAGTACAAATAACCAAACTGAATTATGAAAATTATAAGTTCAAAAATCGTTTTTTATTTCAAGATATTTACGTCACGTAGTCCTTTTCCAACTGTACTTTGATCTAATGGAAAGAGTTATCAAATATAAAAAGGTTCGTTGAATAACTTCAAAGAGCGATGCTGTTTATAGGACAGTTTAGTGGGCGAAATTATATTTACTGCTTTTTAAATTTATGTAAATATATTTGAGATAAAGTTGATGTTTTTTAATAAGCTCGTTGGAGAACGATTATCGCTTGAAAGCTAGGATTTTAAAATAAAAATAAACTCATTGTGGTAAAAATATTTTTGTATTTTTAAACATTTTTCACAATTTCATCATGAATATTTGAGATATATATTTGGCTTGCATCTTCCCCCCCTTAATGAGATTCTTCGCCCTTACCGTGTACTTCAAATTACCCTAATGTTTCGGCAGATTTAATGATTGTGAGGTACAGTTGCCAAATTGCAGATGGAGTCTTATTAGAACATAGTAGGGTTTACCCTAGAAAGGATGACCTAGATAGCAACCATACCATCGAGTAAACTAATGAGATGTCTATGGATTGTTTGGTCGACTTCAATGAAGCCTGATTTTAAATGCCTAGTGCTCAAAGCACAAGCGTGCATCAATTTAACTGGCTGAAAAACCCAAAATGTTTTCAGGGTGTAGATACGATTACAGGCGTACAACCTTCGGGCTAGAAAACCCACTATACATTGATGAATATTAAGTGAATTCTTTTTTGTTGTTATTTTGTTTCATTTGAGAGTTACTCTTGAACCCAAATGAAACTGTTTGATAAGTTTCATTCAACAAGTCAATAATTGTGAAAATTAAAAAAGTAATTGAAAAATATTTAATTGACATAAACGTAGGATAGCGCGTTTTTGCCTAATGTAATGATTATAAAAAGATTTTATATGTGATTGAATATTTTGATTGTAATGAATTCAGGAGAAATCTTGCAAAAATCAATGAAAATTTTTTTGCCCTTAAAATACAATTTAATTATGCCTTTATAAAAATGGGAAGGTAATTTATCATGTTGGCATTAAGAAAAGTTATTACTGGCACTAAAAAAAGTCACCAAAATTGTTTACAAAAATTAATTAACAGGAAGAAGTTCATTAGACCAAATTGGGCGGGTAATTTAGCTCAACTATTTCTACATTTTTCAACATTTTATCTCTTGTACCTACAAGAATAGATTCAACTATATCTATCGAGATAAAAGGTAAAATAACACATTATAATATTCGTCTAATTTACTTCAACTCTAGATAGATAAAGTCATATTATAATCATCAAAAAGGAAAATATTCACTGCAGGATAGGTGGAAATATGATATTTGATGAAATCTCTCACTATATCACAGAATGCTAATATTTAGGGAAAGAAAGTGAAAAACCTCTTAAAAACACCTTCTGAAGATTTAGCAACCCACTAAAGACGCTGAGAACTATTTCAGAAAAGAAAAATTTAGCAATAGAACTCTATAACTTCTACAGATCAATTTTAAATAGATTCATACACAAAAGAGGTATTGAGGAAAGTTTTGGAACAGATGCCTAAATAAATCCCTTTTCAAACAAAGAATCGCGTGCACAAGGGGAAAGGGAGAGGAATTGCTGTATTGTTTTGTTGTTGTATGACGAATCCATACAGGGCAATGGGTCCTAATAAAAGCCTTTTTGTTGCTGTTGTTGTAATATTCGTCTAATTTATACAAAGAAAACTGAGGCAATTTTATTCACACTTAGTTATCTCATATGTCTTCAATAAATGTCACTGTGTATCAAGTATCTTTCAGAATTTTTGTCTGAATCATGATATACATGCTAAAAGGTACAACTTACTTAAGTTTTGTCCATGAGTGCATATATATATTTAATAAAGTTACGGGAAGATGATGGTTTTGTAACAAAAGAGACATTTCTCCCTTTAATTTTACATTAGAACAATACCTTATTTTTTAGCCCCAGTAGGAAACTTCATGGTGTTAATAAAGAACAACACCAGTTTAAACAAATTCAGACAAAAAGCCAACCTATATACTATGGATTCGAGCTATGGCCCTCATTAGTATTGGTTTTGTGGCTCATTATTTATCATCATCACAATGTTTTTAACTAGCTGATGAAAAATAATGCATGGTTCTAATGAATAAAAAAGGGAGATGTGCCTCTTCTGGTACATATACATTATTTTTTGATATAGTAATAGATTATGTATACCGGGATTCAGACAACTCTGAGAGGTATTTGATACACTGTGACCTTTATTGAAAACACAAGATAAGCAAGTATGAACATAATTGACTCTTTCATTAAAAAACATATAACGGGTGAAATAAATACTTTCCACTTCTCAAAGTTTTATCCATGTGTTTATATATGTATAAATGAGTAGCTCTCTCTTTAAAATTGCAATGAAACCATGAAACTATGTATCAGCCGATATGGTGTTGTGACAAATTCTTTATTCCTATCTTTATACATGAACATACCAGATATTCCCATTAATATGTAAACAGATCATTAAATTTATAATTTAAAAAAATTAAATTTCAACTACAATCAGAGAAAAATCATTTTTTATTATCAACATACAGACGAATAAACATAACTCAAGTCTACGTATTGTAGAGTGCTATTGGATAAGCATGGATACCAAGCGGCATTCAACTATTACGACGACTTTATTCCTAACGAATTTAGAATCGAAATTACTAACAAACCCTATTTGCTTTTCAACAATCTCTAATGGTAACTAATGTTTATTCCTAAATTTAAAAAATATATAAAAGAGGA